GAACATTTTCTGAGTCACGAGAATATTCAGAGTTTTACAGTCGGATGGTTTTATACGTGAACAGAGGCTGTGTGACTGAGTTATTTGCTTTCAGATGCAAAAGAGTCATTAGCAGTTAGCATACAGGCTTAAAGGCAGGTTCCCTGCTGAGGGCGGTTCCTTAACGCCCCTCAGGGTGTCATTACTTTGGGTCATATCTGTCAGATTATTCCAGATTAAATGCGATGAAACAGGAAGAACGGTTTACGGCTGATCTCTGGGTCAGTGGAGGACTTCATGGTCCCGGTCAAAGACGCTCCCCTCTGACTGGGAGTCGACCTCTAACACCGGTTCTGATCCGAACGCAGCCTGAACCGGTACCACATCACTGACACACACACACACACACACACACACACACTGGTCCTCTCAACAATAGCAGAGCAAATGAAGCAGGTCATCCCAAAGCTTAAAGCAGCTCTTTGTTCTGAGACGCTCTGAATGTTTGAGGAAACCAACACAGAGACTGTAACACACACACACACACACACACACACACACACACACACACACACACACACACACACACACTGCGCTCTGATTCATTCTGACGAACATGATCCTTGGATGCAGCGGTCACATACACACACACACCGGTGTGTGCAGGTATGGCATGCATGATGACACACCTTCACACACACACACACACACACACACACACACACACACACACACGGTGGAGCGTCTTACCGTTGTGAAGACAATGGAGACGCCTTCTGTTCATTTACAGCAGAGAATAAAACACTTTCACACACCTCTCTGTCTCCTTCCTCTGCCTCTCTCTCTCCTGCTTTGCTTTGTCTGCCTCGCTCGCCCGGCCACTCCCCCGGCTCCTCCCCCTGCCCCCCCCCCTCCCCCCCGGTCTAACCCCTGTCCTCCTTTCCTTCCTCTCTGGGTGGATCCTCCATGGAGATGCATGACAGCCTCTCCTCCACGTGTCTCCAGTGCGCCTGTCACTCGCATTGGTGCGCACTCAGCCATTCATCCCAGCAGCACACACACACACACACACACACACACGCACACACACACGTTTTTAAGATAAGCACACACTCTTCCTTCCTTCTGCCTGCGAGCCTCTGGGCTCAGCGCGGTAACGTGCAGCCTGCTCAGTGACAGGTGGGGAGATGAAGCCGAAACGCTGCAGAACATCCAGCCTGATCGCTGCTCACATCACTTCCTTCCTCTGCTCCAACCTTTTGTCCTCCACTTCCTGCTCCATGTCACCCAAAGCCTCCAGCTCTTCTCTTCCTCTGCTCTTTCCTTCATCTTTCACTTTATTTATTCAGGCTGAACTGTGAATTTAACTGCAGCCAGCAGATAAATCACATCAACTTTATTAGTGTAGAACATTTCAGGAACAAGGCAAAATATAATACAGTAACCAATTATCAATAATCATCAAATATACAGTATTGATCAATGCTCCAGTTATTAGGAATCAAAGGCAGGTTTGTAGTCTAGATTTAAAGAATCTCAGTGTTTCAGCTGTTTTGTAGTTTTTTTTTGGAAGTTTGTTAAATATTTTGTTGCATAGAAGCTGAATGCTGCTTCTTCATGTCTGCAGAACCAGAACCAGAACCAGAACCAGAACCTGAACCAGAACCAGAACCTGAACCAGAACCTGAGAGGTCTGGAGGCTGATCCATCAGCAGCAGATCTTTAATCCGTTCAGTGATTTATAAACTACCAGCAGTAGATTAAAGTCTGTTCTGTCAGTGAAGGACTGTAGAACTAGGTGATGTAGAACTGGGTGGTGTAGAACTAGGTGGTGTAGAACTGGGTGGTGTCTCTACCTTCCTGGTTCTAGTCAGAAGCAGAAGACCCACTTTGGAACCGTCTTTATGTGGCTTTGAAGTTTCAGGTCAAAGTTCATCAAAACACCCAGATTTTCTATGACACACAGTTATTATTGTTTCCATTCATGTTATTGAACAGACCAACATGACTCTAGGGCTGGACTTTGACTAGACCATGAACATGTAAGCTTCGGGTCGTTCCTGCTGGGACCCCTGACCCCTGACCCCTGGTTAAAACTCTGCATTGACCTCTGTCTGATTGCCGCTGGGTCTCCTGATCACGTTGAGGCAACATGAAGCGACGGTCAGACACTGTGTGCATCTAACATCCACTAACCACAGATTCAACTGAATCTTCCTCAGTCAGAAGGAACAGGTCAAAGGTCATTGTTTATTGATGAGGGTAGCAGGTATACAGGATATGAAGGTACAGATGATGCTGTAGATTTATATATCTATGTGTTTTTCTGAAAAAGAAGACAACAATAAAAGTATATATGAATAACCACAAAGGTAAACTACACACAGAGGGTCATGCATTACCACAGGAAATCCCGTAGAGGGCGCCATAACACCACACATGAACTAACAGTTAAAAGCAAATCAAACACAAATTTCTGGCAGGAAAAAAGTAACAACACACACAGTTAGCAAAGGACTGATAGCCAACGGCTATTCCTGCTGCGTGGCACCTGTCCTCACACTGAGCTACAGGAAGCACAGAAACTAGCTAGTTAAGCTACGAGCGGAACTGCAAAGAGGTGCATTGTGGGTAACGTAATGATTGTTTTCCCAAGAAGTTGTTTCAGCCAGAGAATATCGTATATATATTTTTCATACATGAAAATGGAGCATTTTCCTGGTTTCATATATTGTTCCTTTGAGGGATTGCTGAGTGTTTATCGCTATGCAGACGATACGTAGCTCTAATCAAAGAATCCAAAAGAATTAGACTACAAGACTATCTTGGAAATAAAGATATAATACTTTAGAAAAGATGTAAAGTTTATATAAAACATGGCAGTAAAATAAAGAGCCTTGTCTGAAAAGGCCTCCATAAACCCGTTACCTAAAGTTAGAGCAATTTCATCTGATCATAAAACTTCATGTCCGCCAAGAAGACAGAGAAAAAATGGAAAATGGTGGCTAAAGGAGATGTGGTTAAGTTAGTTTGTTAAAACTGATGTAAAGGTGAAACTGAGCCTGAGGGTCGCCTACCTGCGTAGAGGCAGCCAGGTCCCGGCCGAGCGCAGACAGAACAAAGGGCAAAGGTCGCAGACATCTCGCACGCCGAACATCCCGGCTATTTTTCTACGCGTTTTATTTTTCGTTGGAGTCCGAAGCGTTGCCATGTGAAGCAACCTGAAGGTTTCTCATCAGACTTTAACGACACACTCCTGCTTCTTCTCATTCACTTTCTGAGGATGTTTTGTTTCCAGCACCAGTTTCTGCTCAGACATCATGAAGGACGATGTCTCACTGAAATCAGTGTTTCCACTTCTGAAATGTGGTTTAAAAATGTTTATACCAGGAAAAACAATCACAAACAGCTACGTCTCTCTGTAACGCTTGTTTCTAAAATATTTAGCAGATTTCAGGTGGCAGCAGGCAGATCACACCAGATGATGCCTTGATTTGGGAAGTGATGGATGCAGTTTGCTCTCTTTAAATTAACTGGTTTCCATGGTTTCCTTGGAGGTGATGATTGAGAAGCACAATGTTTCATCTTCCCGCTGCGTGTCCTTGGAGGAGCAATAAAAAAATCAGTGCTGATTCTCCAGAACGAGCGGCTGCTTTTCCACAGCGGCTTGCAGGCGTTTCTCAGTCTGAGGCCTGCCAGGCTCCGAACGCAGAGCGTGTTATCTGCTGGAAACACGCCGCCGGGTTTGTCAGCCAAGAGGCAAAGAGGCTGACGGAGGAAAACGAACCGAAACAAAGTTTGGTGAGAGAACGAAACCTTTTTAACACGTTTGACTGCTTGTTTTAAAGTGATTAGAAAATGTCTGTTAAAACCAACTTGCATAAATAAATAACAGGCTGATTTAATGATTATAGTCACTCAGACATATTGCAAATAAATCTGTTTAGCCTTCATAACGAATCCCCATCTGTTTCCTCCTTCCTCAGCCTTGAAGTATTGATCATTTACTAATAATAATTTAATGTATAAATAATGCATCATGTATTTATCTGGATATCTAAGGGGAAAATATGCTTTAGAGTATTTAGAAGGGAGGACAAATTGCTTCCATGCTTGAACAGATTAACTGTAATTACAGTGACACCAAATGAGACGAGGCACCTTCAGAAAATATCTTCAGGTAATGACATAATTAAGTCTCCATGCTGAGATAATGATGCTGGAAATGGTTCCTTCTGCAGCTGTGCACATTTTAAAAACTACTTTTCAGATAAAATATGATTTTTAAAAATGATTTCTTATTCGTTGCTCATTCTGAGTTGCAGGAAATTATGGGTCAGACAATGACCACTGGTGTTAATAATTCTTCATATTTAAATTCCTGTTTTGTAAATTGCTGTGAGTGTTGGAGGTTAATGAGCCTGGAAATAAAGATTTATAATTAACTGCTTGTTCCGTCACAGATAATCTCCTATAAATTGTTAAATATTATCTGTGAAGCTGCAGAAATGTTTTATGTATTTTGTCGCTGACAAACGAATTGACTTTTATGGGCTTTTATTTTAAAACTCTGCTTTTATCTTTATTTACCAGAGATATGGTATTGGTTTTAAATGTATTGTTATTTTTATTATAGATTCATTTTTTATGTATTTTTAAAACCTTTCAAATGAAAAATGTTTCAGATTAAATCAATCGCCATGTTATGATGGCCGTTATGTTGGATCATTTATTTTGTTCACTTCTCAGATTAATAGAAACTAGTCATCATTTTTTCTCTAGATTGTGACTTTTGGATTTTTTAAGTTTTCTAACGTGTGTTTAGAAAATTAACTTTAATTCAAATGAGCCCCAAAAATGTTTATATATATATACTTATATATATTAAATCATTAATTTATTTGGCTTTTTTACACGTTCCAATACTTTATTGATCAGTCACATCTAATATTAGCTTCTTCAAATTAACTACAAGATTTTAGCTGCCTTTGTTTGTCACTGCTATCATTAAGTCTGTTATTAACAATGTAGGCTTATGGAAAGAATTGTTAATATTTAATAACTTAAAATATATATATTATGAATGCAAACATAATCCATGGAAACAGATTTTGGAAAAAGCTAAAACATGTTAGCATGAAGTTTGCAGGATTTTCCGCCTGTAATTTGTAAATAAAAACAAATTAAAGAGACGTAAAACAGAAGACATTCCCTCTGTCCTCAGCAGTGGCTGTGTGAAGCCGTTAGTCAGAGATCTTTTAATCTGTGTGAGTCGTTACGCTAGAACAGATTAGCTCTATTAGCTCGCAGATTAGCTTCAGTAGCTCTGCTAGCAGAAAAACTGATTTCACCAAAATGCAGACGCGTTAAACAGGTTCAGGTTCTCAGAATGAGGAAGAGACTCAGTCTCCAGCTCATCTCATTGGCTCAAAACTATTAGCTGCTTAGCTAGCAGCATAAAGCTCGTTTCAACAGCTTCCTATTTACCAGACAGTAAGAAAAGGGCATCCAGAAGCAGAAGGTGGTAAAAACCATCAGTCTGTCTACTGAGAACGACTCATTCCCCCTCAGCTCCAGCTCTCACTCACTGCTGCAGTCATCAGGACTCCACTGGGCCTGGCTGAGTCAGAACCGGGTCACCGAGTCAGTGAGGAAGCAGGAAGAGTCTGAATATAAAGAGTCATCCATGCAGGTGTTGAAGTAAGAAGCTGAGCCTCTGACGTCACTTCCTGTGTCTTCATCAGAGCATGAAGGACGTCCACTCCACTGGTTAAAAATCCAGGTAGATCCAGCGTGAAGGTAAAAGTTCTGATGTGGGTTTGATCCGACGTAGATCCTCCTCTGGTCTGCAGCACTGCGCCTCCTGCCACCTCCTCCTGACCGCTCTCTAAGACCTTAATTAAATTAAAGTCTTCTGCCTCCTGCTGACCTCAGATGCACTCAGAGGAATCTCCCACCAGACCGCTCATTAAACCCTCAACGTTTTAAAGCCATTTACTGAGAGCAAAGAATTTATTTGGTTTATTTCAGACCTAATTTATGTTCACACAGAAAATTATAAGCTGCCCTCACAAAACTCTGCCCATTTCCACACAAAGCCCCCTTGGCTTCCCACACAGATCCTCCAGACTAGCGGCAGCAGGCATTAGCAATCCCCTGGTGGAGCTGTGCATCTGCTGAGCTCCTAAGAACTGCTACAAATGGCATAACAGAGAAGCATTGTGCTGGAGTGTCGGAAAGAGGAGATGCTTCTTAAAGAGACAGAAGCCCAGTTTGAAGGCGTTAAATTACAAAATCAAATTTATTTTAAGTCATGTATTTTTATAACAACTGAAAGCAACATAATTACTTGATTATGCTATAAAATGGAAAATACATAATTGTACTTAACTGTCCTGCTGGCAATGCTCTGGTCTGACTTGTTGGTTGGTTTAGTTTCTGGAATGTATGTAGGAATAAGAAACATGTTACTGAGTAAAACCCAGCCAGCATGCCTAGGTGGGCCCCATGTGGGGAAAAGGAGGGCAGACTATATGGGTCCCATATGGGTTTGTCCGCGGGTTCCACGATGGCCCCACATGGGTTTGCCCATGTAGGGCCAGAGCCCACATGGGCCCTGCATGGGCCCTATATGGTGGTGGCCCACATGGGTTTTGTCCAATTAGGGCCCATGTAGCACCCATTTGGGCGGTGGCCCTACATGGGCAAACCCATGTGGGGCCATCGTGGAACCCGCGGACAAACCCATATGGGACCCATATAGTCTGCCCTCCTTGTCCCCACATGGGTCCCACCTAGGCATGCTGGCTGGGAAATGTGTTCAACATGAGTTTATAGCAGCTTTCCTAAAATGAAGAGCTCCAACTTTGAGACGCTCATAAATCTGCAAAATGAAACTGATTTTCTGATGGTTTTTGTAAAGCAGAGGACAGAAATGTACGCATCACATTTTAATGTCCAAACTAAGAAACATTCACACAGCAGGTCTTGATGCTCAATTCCAGTTTTTTTTGCTAAAATCCTATTTTTATTTTCTGTAGAGCGTTTGTTTATGCTACTAATTAAATGCGACCCAATCGGCCGCATGCAGAAGAAGACTGTAGATGCCCAGCAGCTTTCTGTTTGCGGCAGATAACAGACGAGGGCGCTAGCCGCCGTTAGCCAGTGGGCGGAGCTAATGTCTGCGGCAGCTTCCTCCACTGGCTCCAGCTGTTCATCCAGAGTTTGTAAAAAATTAATTACAGCAATTTTTTGGAATTATTTTCACATTCCAGTGAAAATATTGACCTCAGAGTCGCAGCAAACTGGGAGGAAGTTGTGTTGAGTTGCTGACTGAAGCAGCCAATCAGACGACAGCGTTTCCCCTAATCCCGCCCAGAGTTTGATGAATTTATTTAAAACATGAAGTAATTGATTAAATCACTAAATAACTAGCTTTTAGAATTAAATCAAACTTTGAATTGAAGCATATGAAATTAATCCTATTTAAATAATTCTGCAGCATACATTAAAATATTTATTTATTGTAATTTATCACTCTTCACCGACACTGCAGCTTTATCTTATGCAATAGACATACGTCTATTAAGACAGTCCTGTAGGATAAAACTTCATGATACGAACAAATAAACCAATAATATTAGAAAAATGATTATAATGTGACTGATTTTTATAAATATGATCCAACTGACCAGCAGGACCTTCACAATAAAACACACAGGAAATTCCTTTAGAATCAGTTTTTAATTCACCATTCACCACCTTCATCATCCTCATCATCACAGAAACGATCACCTTCATCAGCGCGTACACTCTGCTTTTATCACTTCAAACTTCAAACTTTTATAATATATTATATTTCATCCATTATCATCTGTTTTTTAAATAATTTACATAAGAATAAAGTCAACAGACTAAAGAATGGATGATCTGAATATTTACATCATGGGACACAGAGAAGAAAACATCTTGTGGTTGGAAATAAAAGAAACACCTGTAAGGAGGAAGAGGAGACGAGGAAGAAGCATCTGAGCAGAGAGGAAGGAGCCAACAGGAGAGCCTTTGTGCTGCTGCAGCAAATCTTATAGCTAAGCAAATGAAATCATTTTATGATGATAAACCCTCAGCTGAACCTTTTTCAGATTCCTGATTTTATTTTCCATCAACATGTTTGACTTTTTCACTTCATTAAAACAAGAAAACTGATGAGCAGAAAAGTCAGTTTTTCTTCAGGACAGTCAGTAGTTATGTTTTCATCCAACTGTCTGGAGTTTAGAGCAAACGTTTAAAATAAAAATAATTATGTGTGTTTCCATTTACTGGTTTCCATTTCATCAGATATCGACGCTGCAAACCATTTAGGAAATGGAGAATCTCCTCCAAACTGAAGGTCTGGACTGAGACCTTCAGAGTTTCGTGCCTGTGGTAAGGTTTGGACCTCAGGCGATGGGAGCGTTCTGCCCGCCATCCCAGCCTGCAGCGCCTCCCGCAGGTGGACAGTCCTCCCCTCCAGGCTGCAGGAGGTCTGAACTTACTCACCAGATGTGTTTCCGTCTCTCCTGCAGCTTTTCAGAAAAACCAAAACACATCTAAAGCGAACGAAGTTATTTTGAATGCTGATGTTTTCACCAACCTTTTGTAATGTGATTCTTTAAAATGAGCATAAAAACACTGATAGAAACACGGCAGGTGATTCAGCCCCCCATCAGGCTCAGTCCAGGTAAACGCATTTTAGACGTTTCTAATTGTCATCTCATTCTTCATCAATCATCCGTCTGATCCATAGAGATCGGACGTATCATTATTGGTAAAATTAAAGTTCAGCTCTCTCTTCACCTCCACTGATCAACCTCCTGAACCCTCCAGACGTCATCAAACCGGCCCGCCACGTCCTCCAGGAGGCAAACACTCCATGACTGGATCATGACCTGATACACTCCTGGTTCTTCACAGCACCACCGTTTTATACCAGCATGCTAATCTGTCAAAGACCCAAAAAACATGTTTGAACAGGGAAAAAATAGGAAATAATCAAGTATCAGGGAGCAAATAGTGTTCAGGAATGAAGTTATGCTTCTTCTCCTCCTGCCTTCATTGATCTCAAACTTTTCTCCTCACAGAGGATTTTAAATCCACTGAACAGTAAAATTCACCTTCTCCTCTACTGACTGTGGCACTGAACACACATAGTCAGAGTTTTATAAAAATTAATAACTCTCCCTTTTAATCTGCCCTGAGTGCCGTTTCAGACATGCCAAACCCATAGGGGGCAGCACAGTGCAAAGCTAAAACCAGTCAGCCAATCAGATTGCTTCAAAACAACCACGACTTCCTGTTGGGAATCAAACGTCACCAGGAGCTTCCTTTGTGTGGACAGATTTATAGGTTGAACCACTTTTAGATAATATGAGAATATAAAGTTAATAAGACGTGGATATATTGTCATCGCAGACAGTAATGCCTGGGACCCAAAAATCTGGTTTTTCATAAAGTTCTCCATGATATAAAGTGTAATTTTTGAGTCGATTAAAGACCAAAACCCATAAAAATCTATTCATCTTCTCAGATATCCGGCTGCGTGTGAGCAAGGCCTTTTTTTAATTAATCAGCATGTCCAGAAAAATGTCCACCATCTCCTAGTTACCATGTCAAGGTGGCGCCGTCCCTCCAAACACTGGACATCTGCTGACATCATCATGTCAGACTGGCTAGCTCTAGTCTCTTTTAACCCACTGGTAAAAATTTAGTAAAAAAAAAAAAAAGACGTTCAAATGCTTTGCTGGCGCGTTTGATCAACCACGTTAACGAGACTTAGATGTCAGCAGACGTATTTTTACTTTCCACAGCTTTTGTTGTTTAAACTGTTGACTTTTCTGACTATTCAGCAAAAATCTGCCCAGCAGGATATTCCATCAGTGTCGATGGACAGAAGAGGAATCTGGCCTCTTTCTATGCCAAACTGCTGCAGAGATGAAATCCTGTCATGAAGACTGAAAGAACATCACACACCGTTTCATTATGCCATATTTCATAGGGCATGAACTTGTGAGAATGATCATGACTAATTTGTCCTTCTGCAAGCAGGAAAGTGGTTATATAACCGCTGCAGAGATCAGCAACGCCAATCTGCAGTTTTAAGTTGTTTGCTGCTCAGGAACGCCTTCCGACCGATTTCTAAAAACACGATAAAATCTCAATTTTACCAGGTTGGAGAAAAAATTCAGGTGTCTATGGACAATTTCAGCTGCTTCATTTTGTTTTCAACCAAAGGGTCATTAGGGAAATTATAGGGAAATTATAAAATAAAGAAAAATAAGATAAAAATAGAGAAAAAGTGATTTAATATCATTACTAATATTTGGATATCTAATCTTTCAAACTAAACGTCAGCATGCCACAAACAACAGCAGAAATAAGATCACTGCAAACAATGCTAAATTCTAAAACAACAGAAGTAGCTAAAAGCATTAAATGCTAAGCTAACAATGCTAATTCTAACTGCGAACATTTTACTCTTCACTGCAGGAAAAAACTATTTTTCTACTTTCACAAATACTGAAATCATGACCTTATCTGTTTACATGATGTGAAATAATTTCTTGATATTGGGTTTGCCACTAAAAGTTAGCAACTTTTCTAGTATGCTAACGCTTCTAAATGCTAACAATAGCAGCAGAAATGCATAAAACCAGGATCTGCTCAGCTAACACTTTGATTGCCAACATAAAAGATTCTCAAAGCAACTGTTTAAGATAAATATAATGTATACTATAAATATTACCAAGTGCAAATATGACAAAAGCACCAAAAGTGGTTAAAAGTGTGAATTGCTAGCCTTACAGTTCCGGTGCTAACTGTAGGAATTTCACTCATCACAACAGGACCAGTAAATTTGAGCTGGTCCTCAAATTTGCTGAAACTACACAAGATAATTTTTAAACAAATTATCTTGTATATTAATACAGAGTTATTCCTTAAAGAATGCAACAATTATCCAGAACAATAGTTTGCTTGTAAACAAAGCTAAGTGCTAACAGACTTAAGAATGAATAGCTTAAAGCAGGAACCAAATTATTTTGATGCCAACTGCAGACATCAATGAAGAGAAAGAATCTTTTGTCTACACAAAACATTTAATGTTGACACTGTATATTGTTCTTACACTAAATTAATGAATAAAGCGGAACTAATGCTAAATCCTGATACACTGCAGCAGCAGTAAACTTCAATCAGGAAACGCTACGCTAACTAGGCTTCTGATACCGACTGAAAACATTTTATTCCTAAATATTTAAGACGTGTTGCTACTTTCACATGTATGCATAACAACAACACTCTATGCCACAGAAAATTAACGAGATTATTATTAGCTTGCTAGCAAGGCTAAATGCTAATACGTAACAGCACAGGTAGCTGAAAGCAGAACATGCAAGGCTAACTGTTCTGATGCTAACTCCAGACAACTCACATATTTCATTAAAATCAAACTTATAGGTATCAACACAAATATTTAACTAATAACTTCAGTATATCATAAAAAATGTTTTGACGAGTAGCACAAAGCAAACTTGCTAACTATGATAAATGCTAATACAAAGCAGGAGAAGTAAGTAGGAAATGCTAGGCTAATGGCTAATGACACTGTAGAAAACTCAACATGATTTTATTACTACAGCCACACATTCTGAAGCTGTGATCAACTTTTTATATTCAAAGTATAATAAAATGTTGGCCACAATTAACAGGAACAATGTTAACTAGCCAACACAAAAGTAGAACAGTAAAATTACCTGTAATATTGGATATTTAGTTATATTTATGTCTCGTTGTCAAAAGAAAAATGGTACAATAACTCAAAATGATTTTAATTTCCAATTTCCAAACGTGTGTAAAGTGTATCAGTGAATTTATTTTTTAAAATTGATCTTTACTTCATGAAGCCCTGCCGAACGGCAGAGAATCAAAGCAACAAGTATGAATTCAGTTTTAATTTAACTTACCTGGATAAAGTAGGTTAAATAAAAATCAAAATAACGCAATGATTGTCAGACCTGTTTAAGCCACTTGATAGATGTATAGATGCATAAAGAATAGAAATACCCTTTATTGCCCCACACTGGGGAAATTCATGACCGGGAGAACTGAGTAATGAGAAGATTAAAAAATTATGTTTTTAAATTGGTTTTCCGTAAAAACTATAACGCTACATTTAATAAATTGATCAACTTGAGGAACAACATATCCAGTATAGTTCAGTGCAGTTGGAAGTTAATAAAAACCCAACAAAACAAATGTGGGAACATTAAAACAAACAGATTCAAATGTCCTGGAAGTGTCGGTTCTTAAAGTGACCAATAAAAGGTTTGGTTTTCATTGAATTGAAACTTTTTAAAAAATGTACTTTACACTGAAGCAGAGGATTGTTTAAGTTATTTAAGACAAAGGATGAGAAAAAACTCAAGAGTTTAACAAAAAGATGACAGATGGTTGTTTTTAGGAAGGGGAAGACCAAAGGCTCTTCTGTTGCTTCTTCATCATGCTCTCTGATCCGCTTCCTCTCTTTCAGAGTGTTTGTGTTCACAGCAGTCAAGGCAATACTGTCACGTAAAATTCATTTTCCAATCCCGCATGCAGACCAAGCTTTACCTTCCTGAACTCATTCTGACATATTCTCAAACAACCAAACCTCTCAATTAAGAAGTGATCAGATCTGAGCTGGTACGACTTCCTGTTTCCTGTCACCATATTGGCTTTAGATGTTCAGTGGTGAGCACCGCTAACAAAAAGCTAGCTGTGCTAACGCTAACGCAACAATCATAAACCTAAGTAAAGCACTATACCATCATGGTATTTAGCAAAAGCTAATGCTAACATGCTAAATTCTACCAGGTAGATGTCTACCATCAGTGGTGGGAATCGTTAACTAAAAGGTTAGCTGTACTAACCCAACAGTAGATTTTAAACTGTATACTGTAAAACTACAGTAATGCATTCTGGGTACAGAATAAAAAGCATTTGATTCACCAAATCAGGGGAGGAGAACGTGAGGATTGTTGTGAAGAATATTCTGCAAGGATATGAAACTTTTATCGTCAATAAAATGTTGAAACTGCTTCAACAAATTCTGCTATTTTATTTGGAATAGAAAAATATGACCTCAGTGAACTTTAATGTTAACTTTTTATTATCTAAATGACACATTTACACCTCCAATATCTGCAACAAAATCCTAATTTCCAGATTTTACCTTCAATTAATTTCTGAATTGTCCCAAAAATCAAATTTAAACGGTAAAACCTTTTAAATCCGTCTTTAAAAGACTACAGCCCCCAAGCACCTGTACAAGTTTAGGAGAAGCTAACTGTGCTAAATGTTTTCAAAGTCAGCTAAAGCGCTAAGCTTAAAATTAGCTCAGCTAGTATTAGCACTTTAGCTGAAGTGTGCCCACCACTGCTGTCAGGAACTTTAACCTTTAACCTCCTGTTTTTTTATTTTTCATTTCTCTAAGTGTTTTATTGCCCAACTTTCTGATGGCTCATGCACTTCTGGGAATATTAGCAGCTTGTGTTGTGAAAACTGTTCAGATTATCATAAACCTATCCAGCCCCTCCCAGATTCTTGGCCAGTAGCAGTTGCTGCCATTTCTTCTTCTTCTCTGTGAGCTTGGTCTGCACGTCTCCGTCCGGACCATAAATCCCAGCTTGCTTTGCTATGTGGTTTAATGACAGTATAGTCCTGTGTGTGTAAACACTGATCCAGATGCGAGTCAGGCGACGGCTGCAGCTGCTGTGTGTGTGTGTGTGTGTGTGCTGTACAGGTTAGGCACCGGGGTTCTCCCTAAAACTGCCAACAGGGCACGTCAAGCGTTTATGCATCTCCGACAATCTGCTGCTTCAGGCTGGAGGTGGGATGGACTGAAATCCGGTCTCTTAGTTTCACCTAAAGATCCAAAATCCTTCTGGCAAATTTATGTTCCTCCAAACATCAACACAGACCCTCATCTGCTTAGAAACCATCAAACATTGGACCTAAGACAAGGTGCAGTTCTAAGAAGAACCCGGCTGCCTGATAAAGGAGCAGACAGTCGACATCATGGATCCGGTCACCGCTGCCCTGCGGCGGAGCGGGTCGGGTTTCCAGAACGACGGACGGTTACCGGGCAGAGCTGCTCAGGCTGTTCATGAACTCTCCGCAGAGTTCTTCTCGTTCAGGGAGGGTCGGCTGTGCAGCAGCCCGGAGCGCCGCCTGCTGGCCGCTGGGGGGCAGACGTCGGGCGCAGCGGGGTCATGGCTTCATGCTGGGGCGGGGCAGGAACGGTGCGGGAGACGAGGTCTGAGTTTGTTCTCAGAGTGTCCGTGGAGCTCGGACCGGAGCTACGCTGCAGACTGAAGCTCAGCGTCTTTATCTGAGCCGCAGGTTTGAAACACCTCAACAAGATTAGCAGCAGGGTTGCAAAGCCGGCCTTGTCGTTTGCTTTTTTATGTCTCGTAGCTTCAGGTTTTCTGAGCAAACAAGCCTTTAAAGTGAAAAAAATATTCAGGTATCCCTGTTTTTTTAAACTTCAAAGATCTTTTTCGTACTCAAAAGTCGTCTTGTTGTTGGCGACTGAAGGGCGAAGAAGGGATGGCGAATACCACGGTGGAGGGAGGACGGGGGCTTGTTACCCAGGGTCTCACGGTCGCCCCTGGTTACCTAGAGGAGGGGCTACTGCACTCGGAGGCGGGGCAACAGAACTGATGGGCGATGTCATCGTCTTCGTCCTCTCTGAGAGACAGACCAGCAGACAGACAGAGAGGAAGAGGTAAAAGAGGAAGAGGGCAGAATGGCTTTCATTTGGATTTGCAGTACCGCGGTCAGCCACCAGATGTCACTGTTTGCTCATCTGTGACTACAAGCAGAGGTGAAGCAGTGTCCCCTGGGGGCCTGGGGGCCAAAGTGAGTCAGTAACACAGAAACTACCAGAGCCAGAGGTCAACAAAGTCACTTCTGACCCTGAAAGTTTCCACTGAGGCAGAGAGGACAGGAAGGAAGGATGAATGGATGACGATGGAGGGAAAGCCGAGCTATTTTTAGGACCAGTAGCACACATTAATGCAAATGTAATGCCTAAAAGTGCAAATTAGTGCAATAACCGCTGCGGCTGTGATTTTTAAGCAGGGCTGTAATCCATCACTTTGATCCCATTCAGCAGTTTTAACTTCCCTTGTCTCATTTAAATAATCTGACGAGTTTTACAGATTGTAAATCAGCCGTACGAGGAGATCTGCGGTTTGAAACGAGCAAAGAGAGATAAAGAGCCCAGAATTAGGTTTGGTCATTTTAGCTAAATGTCTTTTTAAAAGGCCGACGGCCCAATAATTTCATAACGAAGTCCCTTAAAACCAACTGAAACCAGTCAGATGTTCCATCAGCGGTGCTTTCAGGAAACCAGTTTTCAGATTCTCTGAATAAAGCAGAGAATCTGAATCTGTGTTCACTGCGCCGTCATGTCTGCAGTGAGACGTTTACCGCAAAACTGGGCAAAGTTCAGAGGTTTGGAAATTCATCGCAGTTTAGACGAGATGGAAGAACAAACTGCGAGGCTCGAAGACGGGATTAAAACATTAATCCGTCTATAATGAGGCTGCGGTTTCAGTATCTTAATAACAGATTCATTACACACAGACTGATAAACTCAAAGTGTTTATTTCCGTTTAATTTGATGATTCTCTAGAAAAACAAACATTTAATCAGAAATGTTAATATTGCCTCTGATAAACCCACTGTAATGTTCTGGTCTCATGACGGCCAGAACAGAAAGGGTTAAATTTAGATTGAGCTAATTCCTGAATATTTCCACTGAACTGTGGTGATGTGGATTAATGTGACCTGTCCTAATCAATTCAATAAACTAGGAAAGATCGCTGACAACTGTCCAGAAAAGGTCATTGCCAAAGATGTAGCTGCCCAGAATGCTGTATTGGTGGAAGGTTTAGTGGAAGGAAAAGGTCTGTCAGCGAGAGGAGCTCCAAAAAAAAAACAATATGCAGTTAAAACAAAGATTTTAAAGAGACAATAACGTAAATGTGTTTTATTCTGCAATATTTAGCCTAAAATGCTCTCAGTGCTGCCCTCTCTTGGTTAAATGGTGGATACTGCAGTTTAATTGTACAGTTTGGTTGCCGTATAAAACCATCTCACTCAGACATACGCCCCCTGGTGGTCAAGAGCTGGAACAGCGAGTGTTGATCGATTTGTTTGGACTGGGCCTCCTCTGCTCCGACTGCATGACGACCAACTGACAGCAGAGCTTAGGAAGGGGCGGGGCTCCACTGCTGCAGTGATTGGTCCATTCATGTGACGTCATCATAAAAGTGTCCAATGAAAACAGAGAAAAGTCACTAGATTTGTCGCTAGTCTGTGAGTCTCAGAAGTCACTAAATACAGGAGAAAAAGTGTTTCTGACCCCCCCTCAGTTAGCCACGCCCCCAGCGTCCAGGCCCCGCCCACTTTGGTGGAACGTTCCAACATTTATTTTCTTTCATCAGGAGTTTAGTTGCACTTTACACCGAGTGACCCGGGTCAGACGTTTTGGGTTCTGCTGGGATTTTGGCCCATTCCTGGTGGAACTGAATCAGGTGTGGAGGCTTCATGATGGCCGCTGTAAACATAAACCTGGAAGCCATTTTGGAACCAGTTCAGCGGAAGCTGACGGTCGTCTGGACCCATCAGGCTTTCACTTCCTGGCTGATTTCTACAGATGTGTCAATGTTTTCACTAATGATGTCGTCTGTTTGATGAAGTGCAGCAGTTCCTCCTGCAGTAAAACGCCTCAGCATGATGCTGCCACCGCCTTACATTAAGATGGTCAAACCTCCATGAATTCAGCCTGTAGGAGGAATGGGCTCTTCCTCTCTGAGCAGCCTTCCAGCCCAGGACTTGTTTCTCGGTGGATAATGACCCTTGACCCCGTCTCACCAGATCAGCAGCATTTTCAGATTTCTCACCAGAACCCCAGAACCCGTTCAGGTCCGGGACAGAAAGCATTTACTGCATGTAATGATTAAAACCTGAAGCTTCTGAATATCCTCCATCACGATGCTCCTTCTTTAGAAAACAGAAATAATTTGGGGATTAAAATATCTGGACGAATTGAAAACAAATCTTATTCACTGTAATTTTCTGAGAAAGAAAAAAAAATATTTTCTTTAGTTGCACCAATAAAATATCACTTAAAATGCACCACTAAGTGTTAAAGTTTAAATGCTAATTTATTAGAATTACTGACATAATTACAATTTTCATCTATTGAAAAATGACCACAGATGGAATCTGAACGTTTTTGTATTTAGCAAATGGACCAGAAATGAAATTAAATGTCAACAAACTTTAGTTTTTTTCCTATGAAAATGAATCAACATATTTTTATTGATCATATAATTCCACAAATTGGAATTACAAAAGTAAATTCAAAGCAGTTTAGTAAAAGGAAAATGTTTCCATAAAAACGTTTTGCGGTGGTCGTAGCCGCTCTCGAGTAGGCGGGGCTTAAAGCTGAGGCGTCTCCTCTGATTGGCTGATAGATGATGAGCACTAGTGACATCACTGAAATATGAATTTATCATTTACAGCCGTCATGATTTTTAATATCTGATCACATGAACTTATTCAACTCGTGACAAATCCAGCAACTTTTTCTGGTTTAATTGGAAACGTTGGCGCCATGTGAACCCGCCAGCCGCTCCGCAGCAAACGGGACGTAAACACAGTTCTTTTCTCCACAGACACCAAAATAAAAAACCCGATTCAAGATACATTCAGTTACATGTTGATGGTTCAAAATTTCTTTGAAGATATTTTTAGATACGCATTAACAAAACCGTCATAAAATGCTACAAAGTAAAAGAAGCTCAGAAGTTCGGGGCATGAAGAGAATCTGAACTTTGTGAATTGAAAAATCCAGCATGACTGGAAGTTAAAGATCCAAGAACATCCTGCAGACTGAAAGCTTCACTTCAGCTCCAGGAACCAACTTTTAGTCTAGATTTTTATAAAAATACACAGTTTAGTGAATTTAAAAGACGATGCTGGAACCATGAAGCAAAATAACTTTACAGTTTAGTTTACAGCACATAAAGTTTATCCAGAAACTGGAACTGCTGAAGGATCAGAAGTTAAAACAAAGATGTAATAAAGTATTTAAATATCGCGTCCAAACTAATCAAATCAGAAAATGTAAGTAAAGATTTTGTTTTTGTGTTTCAATCTGAAGTTTGTGTTATTTTTTTGGTTATGATGGGTTTGGATTTGATACGTCACTGGTCTGTTTGACGATGCGTTGATGGAGGAGATGAGGGCGAGCGAGGGAGGAGAGAGAGAGATGAGGATGATGATTGTGTTTTTGGGGGAAAAGGTGGATGAGGAGAGAGTTGGAGGCTGAAGAGGCTGCTTCACCTTAACGCTGAGTGAGTGACAGAGTCAGATTATCATCATTATTATTATTAATGCTGCAGGTTTTCAGCAGCGGGGATCAGAGCGAGGCGCCGTTCAGAGCGAATTTCTGGACAGACGTTACATTTTACTGCCAAGATGAGGCTGAACCAAGAAGAAAACTAAAATTAATGAGGTATTTAAGTTTTTACCCATCTGATGCCGCAGTCTGTCTGCAGATATCAGACAAATTAACTCAAACTACTGCGAAAATAAAACGTCAAGATGTAGAAAAATATTTATTACATAATTCATAATTTAAATAATTAAATGAAATCAAGGGAAAAAATCCCTCCTTTGAAATAAAAAATGGTTAAAAAGTCAAAGAAATGAAATTCAGTTATGATATTTGCATAAAATTTGAATAAAATATGAATATATAGCAGTTTATTAGAAAGTGACTAAAAATGTAAGATTTTGTCCAGATGTAAAAAACATTTGATCTTTTGAAATAATAAATAATAATAAACGACTGGAAGCAATCTGCTGCGTTTCCATAGTTACAATAAACTTCAGATTGACTAGAATAATAAATTTTTTTTTGTCTTGAAGTGACGTGGAATGAAAGGAAATATATGACATTAATTAGTCGATTATTGAAATGATCTCATTTAATTTATCTGGAGTTTTCAGACTAAAAAAGGTCATTTTCTAAAAGAACAAACATTCAGAGCAGCAAATAAAACAAAGCTGCACAAAAATTAAAACATTTTGACTCTAAGAGTTAAAAAATGTGTAAATATGTTTAAACTCCTCAAGTGTCAGTTTTAGCTTCACCTGGTTCAGATTCTGTAAAACATTATTTTAAACATCTTTTAAATTATGTACATTTTCATAAATAATCCTCAGATCAGCCTTTTTACTGTTCAGTGGAGCAGAAAGGCCTGAGTTTCCACATGTCAATATTAGAAATATTATTTTAGCGGAAGATTCTTCATTTATTAAAATGTTTAAAAAACAAAAATAGAATTAAGTTCTTAGTTTTGTTGCATTTTTAATATTGTGTGAAATTAAATGAAAAACCTGGTGAATGTGCCAATTAATCGGCAACGTAATCCGTCACCAAGTTGTATAAAATAATGAAATCTGGGAAACCAGCAGATGCCTGAATCGTTCCCTAACGATCCTCATCGTCTTCGTGGCTAAATTCGCTCTAAACGAGCTCACAACCTTTCCCTCCGCTCCCGACGGGTCAGGAAGGAGCCGCCGGTGGGTGGAGGCAGAGCGAGGAGCAGCGGGTGAGGCAGGTGAGGTGGAGGAGGTCAGGGGGAGGTGGAGGGACTCTGGCCCTTACCTTGCCTGCTCGTGGTGCTTGGCGGGGGGCAGGGCGCAGGGAGGCTTGGGCAGGCGGAGGCGCGCGGGGCAGCAGTACTGATGGTAGGTGGCGTGGCTGTTAGGAGGTAGACTGGAGGAGTAGAGAGAGGAGGAGGAGGAGGAGGAGGTGGAGGAAGGAGTGGTGATGCTAGTAGGGTTGTTGGAGGTACGACAAGAGGTGGTGGTAGTAGAACAGGTGGAGGAGGAGGAATAAGACCTGACAGAGAGGGATAGAAAGAGAGAGAGAAAGATAGAGAGGGAGAAAAAAGAGAGAAAAATAAAGTCAAGAGAGGAACAGAGAAAAGTAGACAACAAGAACAAGAACAGACAGGCACACAGAAACAAACACCATTAGCACGGTTAGCACGCTGTCAGCAACAGCACAAGCAAAAAGCACACTTTCATCTATTAGCATTAGCTTAGCACACAGAATAACAGCCGCGTAGCATTAGCACACAGTTAGCTACAATTAAACAGTCTTAGCTAACAGTTAGCACACTACGTCTTACCAGGTTAGCATTACCTTAGCAAACAAAATCAATCACAGTTAGTACGGAGTCTTTAAATACTTGCAGTGCCGTGAAAAAGTATTTACTCCCTAAAAGATTTCGTCTGTTTTTATGTCAAACCTTCATGTTTCAGATCATCAAACTGCTGTTAGTGACAGAAATAATCTGAGGGGAACAACAGCTGCCATCATTGGTGGCAGTGAATTATTGAAACGTTTATAAGCAGCTACGGCAGGTTTCCAGGCCCAGACCATCACACTTCCACCACCATGTCTGACTGTTGCTATGACGTTAATTTACTGATAAAACAGGACATATTTTTCTAAAATGTGTCCGTCTCTCTCGTCGGTCCAGCACAGATTTTTGTATTTTTTAAAGGTGAGACGTGCCGTTGTGTTTTGGGTCAGTGGCGGTTCTGGTCGTGGAACTTTCCCATCATGTCATCAATCAGGCTTTATGTAAAACATGAACTGGGTGAGGCTACAGAAGCTGAACCACATAAATGTGGCTCATACCAGAAATCAGTTTAATTTGAAAGGGAGGTGATTATCTGGTTGGTTTGGCTAGCCTCGTTTCCTACACATGAAATCTCTCTTCATTCTGTTAATAGACAAAATAATCTACAGCTGCTTGGTCAAAGTTAAATATTGCTAAATGTATTTGATGATCTGAAACAGTAAAGTGTGAAAAAATGCAAAACCAGAAGGAATCTGCAGGGATTCAAACACTGTCACAGCAACGCATCGCTAACATTTAGCATTAGCATACAATCACAGGTGTTAGCTTAACAGAGTATCAGCTCATGGTTAGCACACAGTCAGTCTCGGCCATTAGCACTAGCAGTTAGCATCAAAGCGGTACATGTAAACTGTACAGTGAGTCAGGAGGGGGAGGATGATGCACAGATAAAAGTTTTTTTGTTTTTATTCTTTTCAGCTCAACCGCTAACGTCCCAATCACTGAGGATTGCTTCTTAGTTGGTTTTTTGGCGTTTCCTCATCAAATGTTGCTCATATTCAGCAGTTTAAACCTGATTTATTCTTAAAACATAAAGGTTTACAGACTGGTTAGGGTCAGGATTTCAACTAGATGAGTGGAAATTTCACAAATTACACAATAAAAAAATGACTTGTGTTTGGCGTCGGATCAAACAGGCAGTTTGCAATGTTGATGTTGGGATTATAAAATACATTTAGATTATCCAGATTAATGTGGATTATACAGTATGCATCCTGCTTTCTATGTTTAACAAAAAAATTATATTTATTGGCTTTTTACTGTAAAGTTTTCTAACTATGCTGCTATAAACCAGTCACCTATTGGTGACAAATTAAGAAAATGTATCAAATCAGCCCACAGTTAATAACAACTAAACATCCAGTCTCAGGCAGCTGCAGGATCGGACCGACCCGACCCAAATCCTGTGAACCTGCTAATGCTGCATTTAACCCGCTGCTGGACGCTCAGGTAACCACGGCAGGCTCCCCCAGTATGGTGGCCGTTCCAGTTTACCCGCAGTGAAAATGTGCTTCATTCTCAGTTAAATGTTTGTCTTGTAAATATCCTGGTTTTCCTTTGAAAAAACATCTGAACCAGATCTAAACGGCTTATAGACTTCCAGGCTAAAACGTTGTTAAGTCTGATCTGACAGCTGAAGTTGAAAAGACCTGAAAACATTTTTCATCATCAGATCATCAATCTCAATAAAACATCAACAATTTAGGGAGATTGTAAAGAAATAAAATACATCAAACATGTCTTACAAATTCCCCAGACCTGTGGAGCGACTGAGTCTTCAAGTGAAACACAATATGAGCCGAAGTTCTGCTGAGTGTTTTGGTTATTACTGTGGTTTGTAGCAAAACAAATCAATCAATCAATATACAATCATTTGTATAATAATTTCCAATAAATCAGTTGTGTAATCTCTAAGAAATTTCCAGGGAAGAACTGGATTAAATATGCTAATGTCCATAAAAACTCCTGGTATTTTCCGGTGGATTGTAGGAAAATGCATCATAAATTATGGAAAAGTTTCCTGGAATCTATTTTCCATAAAAGTTGCAGAGACGTTTATTCTGTGTGATAAAGTCTTAGCTCCGGTTCTTACGGTTCTACTGACATTAAACCCGAACCAGAGGTTTGAAGTGTTGCACACTTTAAAAAACAGGTAGAAAATTACAAACATATATTTAGAAAGCATTCATGGTTTGTATCAGCTCAAACTAATTTTAGCTGATTTAATCTCACTAACTGCGTTTCCATTATTCATAAAATTGTGCAAATTGAAATGACAAAAATCAATTTGTTTAATTTAAACAGGGCAATTTAAAGCAACAAATGTTTTTTGAGGAAAGGTTTTTGCCCTGGGATGAGGTGGCTTTTTTAGTTGGAAATGGATGCATTTTACAAAACTGCAATGCAAAAACTTTTGTCACATCACATAATTCAAGTGATGAACAACCGAATGTTAGTACCGGCTAAAAAGCAAAGGACGAATCATCTCAGTTTAGAAATTTAGTTTCTTCAGCATCAGCAGAACAGACAAAGATTCGAGAACATTTGAAACTAAACGACTCTGAGTGCCACCAGTCAGCGGATCTTTAAACGTTTTCATGGTGACCATGAACAGAGTTTATGCTGCCAACGAACTTTACTGAGTCAAAGGAATATCCAGAAGAGTTTCCCACAAGCAAAGAACCAGAAGGTTTTAGAAAACCTGCAAACAGCTGAGAAAGTTTCTCCATGAAAACAGTGAGGAATGCTCTCAGGCCTGCTTCCACTGAAAGACTCCACTACTGAAGAAAAGTCATTTAACAGCAGAGCAAACCAATAAAACACTGGAAGAATCGTCCAGCAGGATGAAACTGAAACTTTATGTTTCTTTTCAAATCACCAGAAAGCAGAAAACCAACAGAGAAGCTTTGACTTAAAGCGTTTGAAGGAAAGATTAATATTTAAATGTTCCTGCTAAGAATCAAAAGTAGAAACAAGAGGATTTTTCAGCCAGACATGAAACCCGAACAGAAAGCAGCCACAGAACCTCTCAGCTGGGTTCAGAGGAAGCAGAGGTCAAAGGTCAGCCCGGTCAGACATCCAGGTTAAATCCAACCACAAAGCTACAAAAAGAGCCGAATCTTAAAATCTGAAAATGTTTGTGACACGTCAGAATCACACCTGAGCGACGCAGGAGGTGACCGTTTGTTTCTTTGTGTTAATTACTTCTGGTGTAAGTTTCAGTCCAACAGAAATATGTTTATTTTCTCACTCTGAGCGTCTCTGTAGCGCGTTGCTCCCGTTAGCCTTTAGCTTTTAGCTCTGCAGCTAATTAAAGCCAAAACTCAAGGTTAGAACGAATGCGTCTAAAAGTCATCAGCTGCCAAATCTGGACTGTCATTGGTTTAGAAAAGCAGCTTGAAGCTTTTCTAACTTTGCCTGCATTTCTCTTTCTATGCAGATTTAATTGTTTCTCCATCAACATGATGTAAATTATTACAGTCGATTTCTAAGTTATGTTTGTAGAGAGCAGCAGAAATGTTTCTTTGATCCCATCTGAAGCGACAGGCTGCTGATCTGCTGCAAGGCTCAGCTTTCATCGCCATGGCGACCAGCTGCAGGACTGATGTGACCCTGATGTCACAGAGTACAGCCGCTGTCCACTTCCTGCTGAATCTGGGATGCTGTCATCTTATGGTAGGCAAGTCTAATGAGACGTTTTAAAAACTGAAATGCTTTCAAACTTATGAAAAAACAATGACATTTAAATAATGTTTTGAATGGGCCTAGTCAAAGTCTGGACTTAAATTGTATTGAGGTGCTGTGGAATGTCCCTTTCAGGCCATTAAGGCTGGAAAATTCTCTGAATAAAAACTGAAAAGGAGAATGGATCAGATTTTAATTTCTCCTTTTCAAATTATTAAAAGCCGCAAAGTGACAGTTAATCACAGAATATCCTATAAACTTATGTTACCCTGAATCTGCCACAAAGAGTTCAGATTAATCAGATTAGCTACAAACCCTGAGACCTGCTAAGATGTCTGCTGATATTATTTACACATTGAAATACTTTGATCATAAGTTTTACAACACAGAAAAAGAAACTACAGCTTCATCCGCGTGCCTCTCTACAGAGCATTTACATTTATTATTATTATTACATTTATTCTATTGTAACGTTAGTCAGATGATTTGGCCTTATTTATGTATTTAAATGAAATGTTTAGTAGATGGAGGAAACGTGAAAAATCCAGAAATAAAATACGCTGTGTAGAAAAAAGCCAATGATAAGAGGAGAAAGGCCAGGCGCTCTAGCACCACCTAGTGTCCATCTGTGCACATCGCTGAACACGAAGCTGCACTTTAACCCGTTTCTGATGCATTTCTGGTTAAAATGCGACGGATCGTCCAGGAAACCAACCGGAGGACATGAAGTCAGAAGTCATGCAAGAACAGCGTTACTGTGAGCTAATATTACCCAAGTAAAGTAGAAACTACTCCTACTTACTATCTATTCTCACATCAAGTTATTAAAGAAAGGAGGGTTACTTCTCCACACAGGCTTGTTGGTTTAGCAAAGGACAGAAAAACAATCAGCACCATTAAGAATGAAGATGTTTCTCTGCGGAACAACAGGCTGGTTTGATGTTTGCAGAAAGTTTGGCGCTGCAGACATTCAGCGACAGTCGGACGGAAACAGAGACGCTGCAGCTTCTGCTGCTCCAGAAACCAGGTTGTCAGGGGCA